ATATTAGCCATGTGGTTCGATTGGGCGTGCGTCAACATCAGGCCATAGGTTCTTTCCATTTATTGGATTGACAATGTTCTCATAACAGTTTAGATATGTTCTTATCTTATAGCAGTCAGGAACGTACGCTTACCTCTAAGAATTATTGTAATGGTCTTTAATGGCAGCCACTTCATGTGCACATTGAATTCCTAATAGTTGCCATCTTTTACATGGCACAAGTGTGATTGGGCAAATCAACAACATACTCCTCTGATGGACATACCGTATATGATCGAGGGCTCCTAGACCACTCTACCTCACACTCATTTGCCATGTCAATGATCATGTTTAACTACTCGTTTATTTTCGGACATAATGCCATTATTAATGGTCCTTTCATCCTCCTAATCTTATCATTCCTCATTTGAATCCTTTTCATGAAACTAATTTGGATATCCATCAGTATAGTCAAAATTGATTTCTCTCTATCTTCTAAGAGAATTTTGTTGAAACACTCACACAAGTTGTTCAAGAGAATGTCACTTTTGGATTTAATGGAGACTTACTCCACATTGATGGATCCTTTTTCATTAACCATCCATAGGCTGGTTCACTAAGCTTCTTTATCTCCCCCATCCAGAATTTGTAATCAGTAACTTTAGTAGATATAGCAGTCTGCCATAAGTAGTCTTTAAGAGTTTTTCCTTGAAGTCTTTCCTAAAGAACTTCGTTTACATGTGTCGCGCACACTAACTATGTTCAGCTAGAGAATAGCCAGCACCAATCACATTTTGTAACCCCTTTTGCCTATCGTTCAGAAAAGTCCATTCATTGCTGTTATTAATTCCGAGATCTTGTCCCAATTGCCTAAGAAACCAACCCCAAGTAGCCATATTCTCCCTCTTTATAATGGAATATGCAATGGGGTATATACTATCATTGGCATCTAAGCCAACTGTTGAAAGGATCTAGCCCATAAAGCTTCCTTTCAAGAAATAATCATCTAAATCTATCAACGTCCTACAACTCCCTAGAAACTTTTCTTACATGATTCTAGGCATACATATATGCCTTGAAATTTTGAATCCGTAACAGCAATTATAACCGTAGACCCATTATCTGCAGCGTATGATCGTAGTTGCCCTAACTGATGTCGTCTAACCCTTCTATCAACAATCTAGCATATTTTTTTAGTCCTACATACAACCATCATATTAATCTTTAGCTTCAAATCATCTTTGACTGTCTTTACAAAATTACTGGGTTTTCCAATAGGGATCAACCTTAAATCTCTCCAACTATTTCTCAGTATGATACTTGTATGTATAGTGCCTATTTGTGCCATCTCTACTGTATATATGTGTACGAGTGATTGACTTTATTTGTACATCTCTTCTTTTTGGTCTATGAAGCACATACCCTCCATTTGCATCCTTATTTATGTACCTCTTATAACCTTATGACGTCGTTAACTTTTAATCTAATATTAGTTTTTCACTACTTTCAACTTCTTGACGACTTCCAACTTAGGATACATCAATTTCTTCTCCGAACAGAATTTTGGATACCTAAAATTACCTTCTTCTTAAGAAGCATAATCAGTGTCATGCTTCTCCATCTCTTCTTTTTGGTCTATGAAGCACATACCCTCCATTTGCATCCTTATTTATGTACCTCTTATAACCTTATGACGTCGTTAACTTTTAATCTAATATTAGTTTTTCACTACTTTCAACTTCTTGACGACTTCCAACTTAGGATACATCAATTTCTTCTCCGAACAGAATTTTGGATACCTAAAATTACCTTCTTCTTAAGAAGCATAATCAGTGTCATGCTTCTCAGAAGATGGATAGTACAATTCTTCTAGCACTAAATCCCATGGGTCTTCTTCACCCAAAATATTGTTATAGCCTACTGAGATATGTTTTGGATTAGAGTTATCCATTTCAAAATTGTCATCATCAACCTTGTTATCAGAATCATTGAGTTCACAATCTGTATCAATAACTATGTTGTCTTCAACGTTGAAGCTTGCACAAACAATATATAGGATTTTCTCATGTGCTGCCTAAATAAACAAAAAATTAAGATTCCAAAATCTTAAAAAACAAAAATTTACTAAAAATCAACAAATAAATAATATATTTCACACATTATCCCAAAATGTTGTTGTCAAAAGTACTTAGGGTTGTGGTTTTGTAATTCTAGTCCGAGAACGAAACAAAAAATACACAAAATCCAACATTTATTAACATCCAAAGAAAAAAAAAACTTATTGTATATAATCCAATAGAAAACATTATATTTAAATTTACAAAATGTAGGGCTTAACGGATACCTCATTGTGGTCCCTGCGGTTGCAAAAATTCATTCTTATTCATGGTGTTGTCTTCAAACTCGAAAGTCAACAGGTCACTCATGTCCAAGAAATTTATGACAAGAGTAGGGTTTCCTTGTTTTGTAAAAATGGATGAAATTTTTTTTTTACAGTGAAGTGAAATTGAATGAGGTAATCAACCTTTCAATTAAAATGGAGAATTTTAAAAAAAGCGTTATTTTCGTATCTGTTACAGGTTGTTTGGAAATGCTAATAGAGTTAAGGGTTGTTCGAAAGGGTGAGTTGTTGACGTGAAGTGATTTAAGTGTTAAATTGGATGAGGTAACCCATCCACGACGTGGACAGTTTCTTCAAAGCCTTCAAACGGATACCGTCTTAGTGATGGATGAGTAACACTTATGATACTTGAGTGAGCATTGAGCTACATTTAAGATTTCGGTTAACATGTAGTTACACATGTTACATGGGCTTCCAGCCCATGAGAAAAAGAAAGCCCAATCCATTATAATATGAGGTAGTCACATTGGAGTGTATAATCCAAAATCATGTCTGCACAATTGACGAAGAGCAGACTTTGGCTGAAAAAGAGGAAAATTGAGGCTACTTGAAGTGAAAAAAGTAAAGGGAGAAATTTTTTTTCTTTCCATCTTTAGGTGTGAATTGACATAGATATTCTTCTCTACAAAATATAGATTGAGGATTTCTCTAAGTGGTGTATTTTGGGCACTTCATAGATGTATTCAAAGTGTGTTTCTCACATAGTTTATCAAACTAGTGGTTTGGAGTGAGATTATTGTTTACCTTGAGGTTGATCATTGTTGTTTTTCCAATTTGTTGAGAACATAGGTTTTGGGTATGAAATTGACCATTGTAATCTCAGTTTATTGTAGTGGCTTTGGCCGAAGTTGCCCTATGATTTTTTTCCATCTACATTGGAGGGTTTTTTCCACATAAAATTAGGTGTTATGTTCTCTTGTTGCTTTCCTTTTTTTTTTTTTTTTTTTGGCATTTAGTTATTTT